ATGAGAAGATACTGGAAGAGGATCCCAAAGGGAGGAAGAGAGCATGGCGCCGGACGGATTCCGTGAAGGAAGGCCTAGTCGAGTGCAATGGAGGAGTGGCCGAAGAGGATGAGGGGGAGGTCATTCTTGCGCAGGAGCCTGCAGCTGATCAGGAGGTGCCGAGGGACGCCATCTTGCCCGAGCAGTCCCCAGGAGAATTTGACTTTAATGAGTTCTTTAACCTTGATAAGGTGCCGTGCTTGGCTTCGATGATGGAAGATGTTTTGGGAGAAGGGTCGGTCTCTGCCAGCCGCTTCAGTAGGTGGTTCTCTAACCCCAGCCGGTCCGGAAGCCGCTCGAGCAGCCTTGGGTCTACACCACATGAAGAACTGGAACAACTTGCAGGTCTGGAGCAAGCTATCCTCTCTCCTGGACAGAACTCGGGGAATTACTTTGCTCCTATACCACTGGAAGATCACACTGAAAATAAAGTTGATATTTTGGAAATGCTACAGAAAGCCAAAGTGGACTTAAAACCTCTTCTCTCCAGCCTTTCTGCAAATAAGGAAACACTGAAAGAAAGCTCACATTCAGGAGTGGTTCTTTCAGTGGAAGAGGTAGAAGCAGGGCTCAAGGGTTTGAAGGTGGACCAACAAGTAAAGAATTCAACTCCCTTCATGGCAGAACATTTAGAGGAGACCCTCAACGCTGTAACAAACAATCGGCAGCTGAAAAAAGATGGAGATATGACTGCGTTCAACAAGCTCGTGAGCACCATGAAGGCAAGCGGAACTCTGCCTTCGCAGCCCAGAGCCAGCCGAAACCTTGAAAGCCATTTGATGTCTCCTGCTGAGATTCCAGGCCAGCCTGTGTCTAAGAACATCCTCCAGGAACTTCTGGGTCCGCCTATCCAGAGACCGGCTTCTTCCAATCTTCTGAGTGGCCTTATGGGAAGCTTGGAGCCCACAGCATCTTTACTGGGCCATAGAGCACCCTCGTCCCCCTTGTCACAGGTGTTTCAAACGCGAGCAGCCTCAGCAGACTATCTTCGCCCTAGGATATCATTACCAGCTGGCTTCTCATCGGGGCCACAGCAGCTTCTGGGAGACCCGTTCCAAGGCATGCACAAGCCCATGAGCCCCATCACAGCCCAGCAGATGAGCCAGCTGGAGCTGCAGCAGGCCGCTTTGGAGGGGCTGGCCTTGCCACCTGACCTTGCAATGCAGACAGCTAACTTCTACCAGCCTGACTTTGACAAACCACAGGTGGATAGAACCAGAGATGGATTCAGAAACAGGCAGCAGCGAGTGGCCAAGTCGCCAGCACCCATGCATCAAGGGAATTCCTCTTCCCCTGCTCCCTCAGCCTCCATCACAAGCATGCTTTCTCCTTCCTTCACCCCTACCTCAGTGATTCGTAAGATGTATGAGAGCAAAGAGAAAAGCAAGGAGGAGCCGGCACCCGGCAAAGCATCTCTTGGTGACAGGAAAGAGGACACGCAGAAGGCCAGTGAGGAGACCCTCCTGTCATCCAACTCTGTGTCCAATGCCGATCAAGATTCCTCACCCACTACACATCCCAAACTCTCAACGCTGCAGCTGTCTTCCTGTTCGATGTCCATGTCCCAAACCAACCGTTACACCAAAGAACAAGATTATCGCCCTAAAATGACTGGGAGAAAAACACCCATGTTGGCTTCCCCAGTTCCAGGAGCACCTTTTCTCCGCCCTGTCCACCAAGTCCCGCTTGTCCCTCATGTACCGATTGTGCGGCCTCCACACCAGCTTCACCCAGGATTGGTCCATAGGATGCTGACCCAGGGAGTACACCCTCAGCATCTGCCAAGTTTGCTTCAAGCTGGTGTGCTTCCTCCTGGGATGGACCTGACTCATTTACAGGGACTGTCCGGCCCGATCCTGACCCAGCCCTTCTACCCCTTGCCTGCTGCTGGTCACCCTCTCCTAAATCCCCATCCGGGGACACCTCTGCACCTGACAGTGATACAGCAGCAGCTACAGCGCTCAGTTCTGCATCCTCCAGGTTCAGGTTCTCAGACAGCGGCTGTCAACGTCCCAATGACGCCCCAGAATGTGCCCAGCCGGTCAGGCCTGCCCCACATGCACTCCCAGCTGGAGCACCATCCCAGTCAGAGGAGTAGCTCCCCCGTGGGCCTTGCCAAATGGTTTGACTCAGATGTGCTGCAGCAGCCCCTGCCCTCCATGCCTGCCGAAGTTATCAGTGTGGACAAGCTGGAATACCGACAGCGAGCAGCTCATCGAAGCCTGGACTCGGCTCAATCAAGGACTCAGCTTCCTCCTCTGGAGTTGGTTTATGGGCTATTATATGGGGCACTCTGGCAGAAAGCCTTTAGAATGAATGCCCATGCAGCTGGTGTCTGCATTATGGTGGAAGGAATTCTTAACCAATTGAGTGGAGCCTACAGTTTGAAGACAGGAGGCAGTGTTGTCAATCCTGGGGTGGGGGGGGAATTTTTTTTTTTTGTAAGATATGTGAATGAAGTGTTGGTGTCTTCACCAAGAGGGGGCACCTGAGGGTTCTGAGAAAATAAATGTATAGACCCTTATGTACAGATCTGTGTATAAACAATTTTTGTATATACATACAGGATAGCTTTTTTGAACTTATACAGCTGTACATAAAAGTAGCCAGTATTAGTTTAAGCCTGTGTCGACAGTTTTAATTTTTTTTCACTTGTACATTTGGGACTTTTTTTCTTTTGGTTGATTAAAGTTGCATATGCTAAGTGTGTGAATGGAAAAAAAAAAAGAGTTAATGGAACCACACTGAAGGAAAACCATGAAAAGGTTAACCAAAGAAAAGGTGTGTTAGTAGGTAGAGAATGTTCTAAGGGGCTGCTGAGTCAGTTCCCACTTACAGTGACCCTGCTATTCAACAGAACAGCACTTTTCTGGATTCTGCTCCATCCTTACAATCTCTACTGGACATGAGCTCACTGTTGTAGACACTGTGTCAGTCCACTCTGTGGAGACTCTTCTATTCTTTTGCTGGCCCTCTAATTTTCCAAGTATGATATCCTTACTCAAGGACTTGCTTCTCCTGACAACATGCCAAAATATGTTGTTGTTGTTGTTGTTGTTAAATGCCATCAAGTCATCTGCGACTCATAGTGACTCTGTGCAGAGTAGCTCTGAACTCTGCCTTATCCCCTCTTGCACAGTCCCTCCATACTTCCAAGCACAATGACCTTCTCCAGGGACTGGTCCCTTTGGGCCACATGCCCAAAGTATCCTTGTCCCTGAGGAGTAGCCTGATTTTACCCTCTCCAGGACAGAGATGTTTGTTCTCTTGGAAACCTATGGTATACTTAATATTCCTTGAGCACCAAAACTCAAAGGTATCAATTATTCTGTCATCCCTAGTCATTGTCCAGTTCTCTGATGCATAGCAAGTAATTGTTTTCCTTCCTTTCCATTAGTTTATTTATAAAATTCTAACGCAAATGTGAACAAATTCTTTCAATTTCCCTCACCCACCACCCATCAAATTGCACAACCCTATGATTAATCCCCTTCTCCCCCTCCATATCCACATCCCTCTGCTTCCAACCTCTCTTACCCCACCTGGATCCTTATACTCATTCTACAATAATAGTCTAATACAATATTTATCCCTGTGGGACTGAGTTAGTTCACTCAGCATAATGCTCTCCAGTCTCTCCCAAGTTAGGTAATAATTTACAAAATTATTGCTCCTGCGTGCTGCATAGTATTTCATTGTGTGAATGTACCATAATTTCTCAATCCATTTGTTTGTGGTTGGACATTTGAGCTGTTTTCCATATTCTTGCGATGGTAAATAATGTTGCTATGAACATTGGTGTACAAATCTCAGTTTGTGCCTCAGTTCTTACATTCTCAGGGTATAGTAGTAGAATATCTGGGTCATATGGAATTTCTATGTTCAGGTTTTTGAGAAAGTGTTGAACAGCTTTCCAGGACAGTTGCACCATTTTATAGTCCCACCAACAATGTATAACAGTTTCTTTCTCGCCACATCCTCTCCAACATCTATGACTTGCTGCCCCTTTTAAACTTGCATAGCAAATAATTTTAAAGACCATGGCCTGATTCAGGTGCACCTTAGTCTTCAGATTGACATTGTTGCTCTTTTGCATTTTGGAGATGTCCCTGACAGCAGATTTCCCCAGTGCAATTCATATTTTGATTTCTTGATTGCTGGTGCAAAGAGTGTTGGCTATGGATCCAAGCTGAAATTGTTAACAACCTCAATCCCTTCTTCATCTATCATAGTGCTGCCAATTGGCACAGTGGTGAAGATCTTTGCCTTCTTGATGTTGAGTTTCAATCCATATTGAATACTACAGTCGTTGACCTTCTACAGCAAACACTTCAGGTCATACGACTTTTGGTGAACAAGGTTGTGTCAACTGCATAATGCAAACAATTGATAAGTCTTCCTCCAATCCTCCTCCTCATAAAGTCCAGCCTCATGAATGGCCTATTCTGCATATAACTGAAAAAGTGTGGGGAAAGGATGCAACACTGATACACTCCTTTTCTGATTTTGAACCATGCAGTGTTTCCTTGCTCTAGTCTGATGACTGGTCCAAGTATAGGTTTTACATGAGGACAATCAAGTGTTCTGGGATTCTCATTCTTCTCAAGGTCAGCCACAATTTGTTGTGATCTGTACGGTCAAATGCCTTTGCATAGTCAATGAAACAGAGGTAGACATTCCTCTGATACTCTGTGCTTCAGCCAAGATTCATTGGTGATAATATCTCTGATGCCATCTTTTAAACCTGGCCTGAAGTTCAAGCTGCTCTGAAAGAATTGGCAGAAAACAGGCCCCAGGTAGTGATGGCATACCGATTGACACACTTCAACAAACAGATGCTGCCCTGGATGTGCTCACCAAGTTGTGCCGAGAAATCTGGAGGACAACCATCTGTCCAGCTGACTGGAAGAGATCTATATTTGTTCCCCTGCCAAAGAAAGGTGATCTGACAGAGTGTGGAAACTATGGAACAGTATCACTGAAATAACATGTAAGCAAGATTCTGCCGAAGATTATCCAAAAACGACTGAAACCACCAAAACAAGATAAAGGTAAATAATCCAATTGAAAAATGGGCACAGGATATTAACAGACACTTCACCAAAGAAGACATTTGGAAGGCCAACAAGCACATGAAAAAATGTTCAAAATCCCTAGCTCTAAGAGAGATGAAAATCAAAACAACTATGAGATATCA